AAAGGGCCAATCATCTTTTCAAAATACAGGACACAACCTTGAAAATCAACAAATTTTAAATTAATTAAAACAGGGCTAATCACTTCATTGCCACCAATACAAAGTCTGATTAGGCCAGATCTAGAGACTAATTTAAAGTAACTGTAATGGGCAGACGTTCAAGAAAAATGGTCCAGCTGTAAAAGAAGCTATAGAAGACAAACTGCAAACTGGGGCCCATTTTGTTCAGTCAAGGTTTTCTGTTTCCTTGATGAAAATCTTAGCCTTTTTAAGTTCTCTACTAGGAAGTAGCAATTCTCTTGGTTAATCCCTTTGTTTCTTCAGGGACAGACTCTTGAGGTATTTTGCAATTTGCTGCAGATACAGGCGCTGATATCTGAAGACAAACTAGATAAAATTAACTGTAGAAGATTTTGCTTCCTAGCTGTAAATTGAAATCCATTCAGATAATTTACAAACATAATGATCAACAAGTGTGGTCTGCCACCTTTATAGTGTCACAACTTAGGTGATAGCTTGACATGAATTCTATGCTCTGATCCAACAGATGTTCCACATCTGGTAGAAGAAGGGAAGGGGAGAGATTTTTATGACCTGTCTTGCTACAAATTGGTATGTTATATATACAGATGGGTAGTAGTAACTGATTTTCAGTCACACAAGAGGATGATCAAAGACAACCCATTTGAGGGTTAAATAGTTACCTTTGTCTTCTACCTGTTCCTAGTTCTCTCAGGTAGCAGCAGAGTAAAATAGATCACTTTCCTCAGCTTCACTGCTGCTTGGAGCATTCTGGATTTCACCAGCAGAAGTACAGAAGCTGTCTGCAGACTCATGAAGATGATACTGCATTGGTTAATAGATAGAATATGATGCTAACTGCCATCATAGTGCTGTAAAGTTGTTGGGTTTTTTTAAATGAAAATTTAGTTTATTTAGAAAATGCCTTTCCCTTAACCCAGACCAAAAAAGGAACTAGTTTCCTAGTTTCAAACACAGCACCTGTGCTTCCTAGAAGTTTCACCAACAAAAGCGTCAGTGTGGAGTCCACAAAACATGTCTCTATGGGAGACCTTACAGCAGTACAGCTGTGTCACTGTAAGGTCTGTAGTGTGGACAGAGCCTAAGCTTTAAGTATAGATCAGGCTATAGCATACGGCTACATCCATTTGAATCTGAACTGTTTCTCTAGAATTTCATTTATTCACCAAAACTTTCCCTCAGCAAAGGTCCATTGGTATAGAAATTACTATCTTGGAAGCTTTCAAAACTTTCCCAGGACAATAGTGAACTTTTAGAAAATGTTCTTAGATCTACATTTAACGACACTGATAAGTTTAAAAAAAAAACCCCAACAACGTGTGGGCCTGATTCAGAAATGCCAATTAACTAAAGCTTCATTTTAAGTCTGTGGGAATTGAAAATGCTGCTTATCTCTGAAAATCAGGCCCTTTAAACCTTGGAAGCTATTTTTTTTTATAGGCTTCAAAAGAAAGATTTCTCATTCTAAGTACTTGGGAGGCAGATGCTGGAATCCATGGCATGTTTAGATGTAACTAGCTGCTTTGTTCTATTTGGTATGTTTTGTAAGACTAGGTTTTTTTGCATAGTGTTTCTACTGTCTACCTATTAAAGTAATAGCCAGCAGTTATCAGTGCTGACACTTTTCTGTTTTCAGCCCCTGTCCCATAGTTTTCCTTTTTTAAAACTTTCAGAAAATGAGGAGGAATTAAAGTTGCCTGAAATCCCTGTATAATCCAGTGAAAAGAATAAGCTAAAATGTGCCCATTCAGGAGTACACAATTCCCCCTGCTCTGTCAGCTCCAGTTTTGTGAAGAGGCAGTGAATGAGAGTTGTAGTCTTTGAATGCAACCAGTATGCTACAGAATAAAAATGCACACTCACTGATCTGGTAAGCAGCCAGGACACACATTGGGTGATTTAAGGTATAGGGAATGTATCCTTAGAAACATTGGTGGTTTCCTTAAATTGTTTTTACTTGTCTAACCCTTAATGATCTGGTTTAATATTGGAATTTTTAATGAAGTGAGCCTCACCTTGCACATGTCCAAGTGAGATAATGGCATGACTACGTATGTCTCCTGGGGTGTGCCAAAGCAACTTGCTATCAAGACTAGCAGAATGTGATTGCAGAGGGGGAGTGGCAATTTAGCCTATCACTTAGTTTGCACCCTTGGGATGGGGGTAGGTGATTCTGAAGCAAGGTCCAGGTCAGAACACTTAGCATAGCCTGCTCAGTGACTTGTTTGGTGGGACTGCGGTTTGCCAGTTAGAATTGAGCTCACTGGAGGGAAGTGGGAGGACGCTCCATTAGCAATGCACTCCTGTGTCTGAATGCTTTGGAGAGTAGAAGGAACTTGTGAAACTCAATAGGAACTAGGCCTTCAACAAATGCTAACACCTCCAGCTATTAGTATGTTCTTTTCACTTATCAGGAAGGTGCCCAAGAATACCCAGAGACCACTCTACTCACGGAAGTGTTGTGGGCAGTAAAGCCTTGTGTGAGGCTTCATTACTCAGCGACTTGGCCTACCCACCTGATGCCTTTGGTTTGTTCTAAGCAGTGCAGTGCCATCAGAGCTGAAGAGTCCAAACTTGCACAAAAAATAGCTAGACAGGCGACTCATTGCAACAACCAAACATTTCTGTCTTTTAAATGAATAGCTTTGTAGTGTCTGGAATCAGTGTAGACCTTGCAACCTCTCCCTCTCTTCTGTAGGAGAAAGGGATTTTTAGAAAGGGTTTACATTGTTTAGCTACTGTACCTGGTTTTTGTTCTATAAATAGGTGACATCTTGAAAATTCCTTTGATCTATCTTTATACCTAACTGGTTAAAGCCTTCCGTTACTTAGTCTCCTTGCAAATCCTTTCCCATAGCGCAAGCTAAGGTTACGTTTGGGTTTTTCCGGGATGGGATGGGTGTTAAGGTTTTGTTGTCCTCTCCTCATGATGATTACTGCACAAATGTCCTGCCAGCTCTTTACCTCCTCTTGTGCTGTGTGCCCAAGACTAATTTTCAAAAACAGAAGCCACTCCTACATCCTGTTTTAGATACGTAAGTATAATTTTCAGTGTTGCTGAGCATTCGTCACCTCCATAGGCTTTATAAGGAGCTACTTGGATGCTCAGTACTTCTGAGAAACAACCCACTTATTTAGGAGGCTAACTACAAACAAGGGATCCTTGTAGCTTATGTAAGCACAGCTAATCTGGCTACAAAGTTATAGAAGGTAGGTCATCAGTTAGTCCCTCTGCTGTTTCCTGGTTCTATTACACACCTAATCCCAATGCAAATAGATTTAAAACATAGCTTCAGAGAGATCCTGCTTAATGATGCCTCCGTTTAGATTAAACTAACAGGTTTGTCCCACCACAAGTAACCTACCAAACCGTGGGCAGTTTAGAGAGGAGACAACTAATTCCCTAGGAGGAATTGGTGAATAGGCACAGGTTACCATGGCACTTGTCCTTTTTCTGTTTAAGACTGAAGAATTTTTGGAATTCCCCTGATATTACTTCTGATTCCCACCTAGCAGGCAGTTCATAGCTAGCTTTAAAACAAATCCATTTAGAAGGCTATGCCTACACTGCAGGGAAAAGTCGGAAAAAGATACGCACATTTCAAATTGCAATTTGTGTCTTTTTCTGCTTTTCTTCCGAAAGAGGCTTTTCCGACATTTGGCCTGTCTGCACAGGGCCAAATGTCAGGAAAAAACCCTCTTTCAGAATATCCCTTCTTCCTCATAGAACAAAGTTTACAGGGATGCCAGAAAAATGCGTCTGCCTTTCCAAATTTTCAGAAAAGCAGACTCATTCCTTGAATATGGCAGAGCTTTTCCAGGAGAAAAACCCTGCAGTGTGGACATAGTCTGAAACTTAGGCTGTCTCACTGAAGGTTCCAATAATCAGTGACCATTATGAATCCTGTCCCTGATACTAGTGCATGTGCAGAGTATTCTTGACACTGTCCAAGGAAGCTCTAAGATGTTAGGAAACTGCAGGGCTGTGTTTACATTGGCGCAGTCTTGCGCCAAAGCAGCCGCTTTTGCACAAAAACATGCTGCCTGTCTACACTGGCGGGGAGTTCTTGTGCAAGAACACTGACATTCTAATGTGTGAAATTAGTGCTTCTTGCGCAAGAACTATGATGCTCCCGCTCAGGAATAAGCCTTCTTGCGCAACTGTTCTTGCACAAGAGGCCAGTGTAGACAGGCAACATGAATTTCTTGCGCAAGAAAACCCTATGGTTAAAATGGCCATCAGAGCTTTCTTGCACAAGAGAGCGTCTACATTGGCACGGATGCTCTTGCCCAAAGGCACATGCCAGTGTAGATGCTCTTGCGCAAATACTTTAATGCAAAAACTCTTGTGTTAAAGAGTATTTGTGCAAGATCATGCCAATGTAGACGTAGCCCAGAAGTCTCCATTTTACTGCTTGAATTCAGCTTTCTCTACTGTAACAGTGGTTAACAGTGTAGGATGTTAAACAGTGCATAGAACTGAAATACGAATAGTCAAACAACTAAAAACTTCATCTGATTTATATTCCGATCATTGGGCAGCTAAACTCACATTTTACCATTAGTAGTAGAATTTTTTTAACCAACAGCTTTAGTGTATTTCCATGTGAGTGTGTGGTGGCTGGATAAAATGTTTTTTCATTGCCTTTTCGTTGACCTCAAAGGCCTGATACTAGGAAATGTCAATTGATCCACTTCTAATGCTTGATGACTAATCCTAGTCCCCCAGTTTATTCCAAAATTAACTGAACAATAAGAACTAGGAACAGTTCTGTTTATCTTTATTAAAGGACTAAGGCCTGATACAAAAAAGTTCTGTTGCAGAAGCTCACATCTGCTTTGACTGCTGGCTGTTGTTTGCTTGTCCTCCCATTTCTTGTACATAAGATCCTCTTAGAATCTGAAATGAGCTGCACTTTCTATAGGTTTTATTTAATGATATTTCTTTTTTTTTCCAGGTGGACTGAGAGGAATAGCAAGAGGAGGCATTGCAGGCTTGATGCTTACTGGCCTCTATGCTCTCTATAACAACTGGGAGCATATGAAGGGTTCCGTACAACGACAGTCCCTCTGAGCAGGGTCACAAGAACTGAATGTAGGACGTTCATGTAGTTCACCAATCAAATTGATTTCAAAACAGTCTGGTGATGTCTTCTCATATTTTATCTACAATTAGTGTGAAACTAAATGGAAGCGAGTGTACTGTGAGGAAATTCATTAACACCATTTACCAAGACTGGCACGTTACTTCTGGTCAGCAAGGGAACAGTGTGGCCATTAACTTCTCTTCAAAAGGCAGATTGTCTCCACAGCATGCCACTATGTTAGACCTGGATCTGAGCTCCAAGCTCTGGTCCCCTAACGTGGCTCACATAGACAGTGCTATGCCACCAAGTTCATTCAGTTATTGGTGTATTACAGTTGTGCTGCTTTCTAGCCAATAAAGTTTGTGTGTCTAGAGCTGATCACTTCAGTTAACAGCTGCAAAACCAAAAGTGGTTTTGTAAGCTAGTGTTAATTCAGGTGGAGTCTGTCAGTAGCAGTAAACACAAGCTAAGGGCTGTATTAATGGCAAAAGCACCATGAAAATGGTAACTATTTTCAGGAGTAGAGAGAAGCATGGTACCAATGTAGTGCTTTTTCTCAGCTGACCCTCTTTTGCCTGACAAGGCAAAGGAACATGCAGTCCAGGGCATTTTGTTTTAAGGAGCAATGTGTAGAAATCCAATAGAATAGAAAAGCCATGGGGCAGCTCGCTCCTGCTTCTAGGTAACTGGCGAAGTGATAGTTTTAAAGGGGATAATTGAGTTGGCTGTTGTATTTGTTTCTATTCTGACAGAGGGATTCATTTTTTTCATGCAAGCTCTAGGAGGGGTAGACTGAGAAATCTATATTGCTGCAGAATAGTTTCACATTGAAACAGGTGAGTTCTCCAAAATTAAAATGTTCAGTAAACTGAAACCAAGCAAACAGTAGAGCACTGTTCAGAAAACAGTTTCTCCTAAAGCCATCCATCTCAGCCTGATAGACTTCTCCAGGGAGTCGAGCAAGATTTTTTTTTAATGGCTTATAAAGAAATCTGGACCTTCATTGACAGTGAAAAAGGACAATTTCTCCACAAGCTGTCTTCACGCCCATGCTTCTCAGCATAAATATAGTGATTCTCCTTGTTACATTAAAGTAAATCAGGAGCAACTCCCCTGCAGCCAATGGGGAATACTGCTGTTCAGAGTTGGGAAGAGTCGTCATCCTAAGTGTGGGCAGAACTACAAGTAGGGTAGGGGATTCCTTAAGTATATAACATGTTAACAGTTACTGCTTACAAAAATGTTACAGCTACTTTTAACTTCAGATGCCTACAGCTGAGTGTATGCTTCAGAGAGCCATCCTACAGAAGTACCTATTAATCCAATTCATTTTAAAAAGCCTATGATCCTACTAGGAATCTAGTCTAATATGATTCCTTCTCTTCAAAATAAACCCCCCTTTGCTTTTTCTTAACCCCATCCTCTGGCTGTTGAGACAGTTTGTCTACAGGAATCTTCTTTACTGTAGTAGTGTTTTTACAACTCAGAGATGGCTCTTCATGGAATAGTATCTGCTAACGTGGGTGGCTACCAGCCAGGACTTGCAGACTGCTTAAACTATGGGGTCTATGTGCTGCTCTGAATGCTGGGAGTGTGTGTGGTGGTGGGGGGGGGAGAACCACCCCATGGGAGCTGCAAGATTGTGTTGGGGGGCAGAGGCAAAGCCTCTTCCACCTGTGCCTGGCTCACCTCTGCTCACAGCAGCACATGGCTCCTGGAGGTGGGGATGAGCAGGCAGGAAGCCTGGCTATGGCCCCTGATGAGCCATGAGCTGGATCTAGTGGTTGGGGAGGTTGAGTTTTCACTCCCCTGCTCTAGGACCAGCTTTTATATAGCTAGTTAACAAGCCTTATAATTGATACCAATTAACCTGAAAGTTAGAGTGCAATTCCTAGCAGGTGTTTCAGTGTATAACTGGATCTAGCTGAGAGAAGCCGAGCTCTGCCACTGGAACAACTTGAAATTAGGTTTTTGTGTCTCCTGCTTGAGAAGTACCAAGTAGGGAGAAAAGGAAGAATAGCAGCTGTTATTTCTCCTTACTTGGAGCTTGTCCTTCATTTTAGTATATAAACATATGTATTGCTCCCTCAGCATACATTGACCCTGCAGTGTTTAAGAATAACTGACATTTCAAGATAAAATGTGCACGTACACAGCAAGCTTTTGAAATATCACGCTGGAGGACTTCTGACTCCTGTATCCCTCATTTCACAAGGAGTAAGGGAATTTGAAGGAAGTTTTCTTCCTGCTGTGTAGACCATGCCAAAAGCCAAATTAAGTTATTTGAAATTGAGCTATGCACATGACCTAGCTAAAGTTGTATAGTTTAATTTTACTTTTGCCCTGCTGTGTAGGCGCGCCCTCAAAGTGGATTTGTATGTTCTAGCACTGTAGAGAGTTAGAAAGCAATACCATCCTTTGTAGCCATAGAGGGATGAATTGATAAAAGGGAAAAAATATGCATGTAGCTTTATTAAACTCCCTCACTACCTTTTTACTCCTCTGCAGATGTCAGTTTTAATGTGTTCTTTTCTGCTGCTTTGTAATGGTGCAGAAAGGAAATCCAAAATCCGAGGTTTTTGCTTGAGAAATCAGGAATGTAAAGTTTCCTCTTCCTATTTTGCTGGAGTGGTGGTGTTTTTTTTTTTTTTTTTTTAAGAGCACTGAAATCTTGCCTCAGAGCTCTGAGATCTTAACTAAAGCGGAAGAGGTTGCAAAACTGAACAAAATGCTGAAATTCTCCAGCAGCATAGAGGCATGCCAGCTAATATAGCTGAAATAAAGTTTTAAGTGAAAAACAGTTTCCCTCAATTTCAGCTGTTTGATTTCTGCTGTCAATGCTACTCTGTCCAATTAATTGGAATCCTCTGTCCCAAAAGTGTTAAAACCTGATAGGAAAAAGAAATAAGACACAGGCTTCAGCTCCTTTGCAGGTCACCTGTAATTCATTAGATGTAAAATTAGTAACTACCCTACAGTATGTTCAGATTCACGAATGCCTTAAGCCAATAAAGGCTAGATTGACTATAATTACAAATCAGTAAATCTATTCTGTGTAAGTATCAAGTGACCTTGAAAAGGTGTCTCCATTAAAACAAAGTAGGTTTGTGTCAAAGAGAAAACTTTAGCTATTCAGCACTTTGTATATCCAGCTGAAGGAAGCTAATTTTTAATCCTCCCTTGGCTTCTGTAACCAAAAAGGAATGATAGGCTGGGATGGGGCAGGGTTAGGATAAAACACCAGCCCTGAGACTTTACAAGGAGTACAATGGAGAGCAAGTGACTTCATTACAGGGTATGGAAACCAGACAGCTCAAGAAATGTATTTCAAGGCACTGGTTTAAACTGCTAAAATGCATTTAAAGATTATAGGAAAGTGAGAAATGGCTGGTAAATGTAAAGGCAGCTGGGGGAAAACAAAAATTGCTTTTAAGCCTGTTGAAGGGAAATGATCTAATATCATGACAGACGGCAGTTCAAGAGTTTAATTTCTTCAATCTGTGCTGTAGCTAAAGCTGACAAACAAGAACTGCTATGGCCCTTGTCAAAGTTATTTTGTCCTTTTGAAAGAAGCTACTCATGCTTTTACTCTCCATAACTGGGAACATGCAAAGCTGCCACACTGTGAGTAACCAACTTACCATACAGTTTAAGAAAACTTACTCCAAGCAAGATCTTGACATTTCAGGTTCAGAGGGTTGTCTTCATATCTTATAAGCAGCAGCTAAAGAAAATTCATTTGCTGTTTCCTTTCACAACTTTTCTAGTCATTCTTATCCAATTACCTTTCAGCAGATTAAATTTGGAAGTTCCAGGACCCTAGTTCCACAGGAGCATATAGTAAGTGAAGGTGTCTCTCTGGGCACTTGTTACTGTCTGCCCTGCATTTTTCAGAGCTATACAATAAGAGAAGGTGCGGAAGAGTATCCCTTTTTAAAGTCCATGTTCTAGCAGAAAACTGACTAGAGAAGCTGTAAAGCACAGTCCTGTTCTGCAAGGAAGAGTAAGATTAGTACAGTGACATTGCTGTACTAAATCACACATGTAAAATATATATGAATGTCCAGAAAAGTGAATTTCATTCATCCTCAGAGAATATTTAACCTATAAACACAAGAAGCAGCCCTCATCTATGCCTTTTAAAGTAATGTGATTAAGGTCTTGTCTATGCTGTGGATTTGCCAATATCAGGCAAGCAGAATTGACTAGCAGTGGAAGTTACAGCTTACAGGCAGTCCCTGACTTACGCGGATCCGACTTATGTCGGATCCGCAGTTACGAACGCGGCTTTTCTCGCCCCGGAGGACACGGACTGCGGGACCTCGCGGTCCTGCCGCCCGTTTACTCCGGGGCGAGAAAAGCTGCTCCGCGTCTCCCTGGTCTGCAGAGCAGGGAGACGGGGAGCAAAGCCGCAGATCACGCCAGCAGTGGGACAGTGCGGCGCGCCTGGACTGTCCCGCTGCCCGCATGCTCTGCGGCTTTGCTCTGTGTCTCCCAGGTCAGCAGACCAGGGAGACAGAGCAAAGCCGTGGAGGACTTGGGCGTCCCCCCCCCCGGCTCCCCGGGGGGGGGGGTGCAGACCAGGCTTTTCTTGCCTACCCCTGGGGTAGAGCAGCTGGGGGCTGCCGGGTCGGTCCCACAGCGCTGCTCCAGACCAACGCGGCAGCACCCCAGCTGCTCTGCCTCAGGCATCCTGATTCAGCTGCTGCTGAAACTGACCAGCAGCGTCTGAATCAGGACTCCTGGGGCAGAGCAGCTCTGCCTCGGGCTTCCTGTAGTCAGCTGCTGGTCAGTTTCAGCAGCGGCTGACGCCAGTTCTGACTTACATACAGATTCAACTTAAGAAACCCAGGCATCCCCAAGTCAGCCGCTGCTGAAACTGACCAGCAGCGTCTGAATCAGGACTCCTGGGGCAGAGCAGCTCTGCCTCGGGCTTCCTGTAGTCAGCTGCTGGTCAGTTTCAGCAGCGGCTGACGCCAGTTCTGACTTACATACAGATTCAACTTAAGAAACCCAGGCATCCCCAAGTCAGCCGCTGCTGAAACTGACCAGCAGCGTCTGAATCAGGACTCCTGGGGCAGAGCAGCTCTGCCTCGGGCTTCCTGTAGTCAGCTGCTGGTCAGTTTCAGCAGCGGCTGACGCCAGTTCTGACTTACATACAGATTCAACTTAAGAACAAACCTACAGTCCCTATCTTGTACGTAACCCGGGGACTGCTTGTATAATATTTATTTCTGTAGACTAGAGCTTTTCACCACTGCATTTACTCCAGTGGTAAGAGCTCCAAAGAGATATCAGTAATTGCCTTTTCTTCAGGCCTGTTCTGAGTTCCATGATCCTGAGCTATATCTTATATGAAAGAGGGTTTACTTGCCACAGGCTGATTACAGGAGGTAGCCAGTAAATTTTTAAAGAGGGAGAGAGTTTGCACTAAGGAGATTTCTACCTAAGGCTGGCTTTAAGTTTTGCCCTGCTCAAGATGTAGACAGCAATGAGGGAAAAAAAAAAAAAAGAGATCATGATTTGCTTCCTCTGATTTCACTCAGATAGGAAGAGGCCTGGTAGTGAGATGTTGCCCTCTCCTTCATGTCAAGTATGCTTTCCAAGAAGCAGTCAGGACCAGTCTACAGGTTATGTCTGCATAAAATAAAGGATCTTGCAGTGGCCAATTACTCTTGCTTATGACCATCCTTCCCCGCATGCTATACCTTTTCCAAATAGCTTCTGTATTAAAGAGCATCTACACAGTCTACTGCAGTAGCTCCCAACCTTTTATGTGCTGTGGACCAGCAAGCCCATTCACAAACATTTGGTGGACCAGTGATATTTTATTTCAACATTCATTACCAGTCTACCTGGCCCCAACCCAGCCCCTTGTGCCCTTTGATCCTTTAACCTCTGACCCCTACGTCCAATGCCAACACCCTCTTTCCTCATAACCCCACCCAATATCCCTTTGACCCCAATCCCTCTAGCAAGGATGCCTCTTCTAGAGAGCATGGCCTTTACTACCATGTGGGCAGGGAGAACAGCACTCCTCCCTCCCCCAGCACATCTTGCACCCCCCCATAGGCGCACAGGGAAGGAGGGGGAGCCGGAGGGACAGAGGCACCTGCTCTGCTGCTGCCTCAGCCCCAGTGCTGCCACCAGCAAAAGCAAGTGCATAGGCAGAAGGAGTGGCAGTAATGTGCCTCCCTCCTTTGTGCTGTGGGAACGAGGAAGGGAAGAATCTCCTGCTCCGCCTGCTCCTGCCCCCACATGAGCCACCATGGCTGCCAGAGCTGAGCTGCCAGGAACAGCCAGCTTGAGCTCTGACAGCTGCCACAGCCCTACTGAACTGTCCCATGTCAGTCAAAAGGACAATATGCAAATCTGTCAAATACTTGCTCCACATGAGTATGGAGGCTATAGAAAAAAACAGTACAAATCTAAGTTACAAAAAGTTGAGTGACTTTTCAAAATTCCCCAAATAAACCTTTTCACAAAGCAATAAAAACCACCACACCCACTTTTGGCTGCCATGTTTTTAATGGAAAAGACTAATCAACACTTTGCATAAATATTTATTAGTATTAACTAAATTGAGGTTTTGTGAAAAGCAAATTAATACAGTGAGAAAGTTAAGGCATAATGAATTGAATATAAAGGTAGCACTCACTGACTAAAATAACTCACCTTTATAAACTTGTCAGACATCATTAAATTTAATTGCTAACTAAGACAAGCTATCACTGAAGTTAGTCATTCCATGAAGCATCTGGTGACATGGTCAGCTAAAAACAGAAGATCAAAACACTTTGTGATTTCAGTAGACATCTCAAACTATTAAAATAAGAGGTCGCAAGTGGTCTTAAGCCCTTATGGAGTTTGTTTTCAGTGTGTAAAATACCAAGATTATGTAAAACATCAGTTAACAGGCTGTTAGCATAGCTGATACCACATTAGTACTTTATTGCTGTGTAGCACTAGGCAAGTGGTTTAAATCCTATCAAGACTTCCTTTCTGCACTGAAAAGATGGTCATTTTTACTCCAGACAACCTTTAAGAAAACATTAACTTTCTTGATGATTTTTAGAGAATACAAATGAACAGAGGAAATTTTAGCTTTGCTAATTCCTCATGCAAACTAGCAAGCCTGCTGCCTATTTGCACCTTGTACACCAATGGCTTTAGACTATGCAAGGTTCCATAAGGGTTTAATAAAATGTATACTAAAAGGAGATCTAGGCTATAACAATCACAGCGTGACACCGCTTTCCAATTCTGATACCAAAATGATAGTTATCCTAAAATATGGTGGGATCCATGCAGATCACCAGCTAGAAAACACACTAAGGCTCTCTAATATTTGAGATTTTTTATTTATAATTTTGTCCATGAATCAGCTAAGGAAACATGACTACTAGCAGTTAACTGCCAATTAGCCTAAGAAAAGATGTTTTTGTACGCCAAATTATTTCACTAAAATTGCAACTATTACATCAAATACTGGGCACATACTAGCTTCAGAGTCTACTGATTCACAAAGACTAACAGCACTGAAAAGTTGTCAGTTTAAAAGCAATTTTAAAAGATTTAGGTCAAATCTGTCTCAGTTCTCTGCAGCGGAAGATCTCATTTACAGGAAAAACTGGACAGGAAGGTCTTTTTAAAAATACACCTCACAGTTCTCATGTGTTGGGGCAAAAAAAAAAAGTGTTCTTTCAAAAACTAGAACACATTTAACAGCCTTGGCTGAGGGCTGAGTTGCACATAGGATGCAAGCAACAACAAAACGTAATTGCTTCCAACAAAGGAATAAATCTAAAAAAGATGGAATTCTTCTCAGGATAAAGTTTCAGAACATGAAGGACAACCTTTAGGTAAGGAAACTGCAAAACTATAATACAGTCCAAACACCAGAGATGCAGGTTTCACAACAAAGACATTTCATTTTACAATTGTTCCAAGCTTCAAATGACAACCCATAAAAGAAGCTTCACACAGGCCCATAAAAGATACAATCTTACAAATGCCTATTGTACCAGTGTGCTTATATTCAGCAGGCCTGCACTCAGGAGTCATTTATAACTAAGGCATTTTCTGCACCAGGACTCAGTTACATATAACTATAGTTTGTCTTTATACTTAGAAGTTTGGAAGAAAAATAAAGCAGACTCATCAGATGCAAACACGATGATTCAGCAGACTGCAATGACAGTG